TCCAGGTTGGCACATTGAACGCAGGTGGCTGGGTTATGGGGCTGCTGCTTGGAATCCAGTCTCCCCGCCCCCAGCACGACTGGTGTTTCTTCTCCTTCCGCATCCAGGTACAACGACTTCTTACACGACCCCCTGTCACTGTGCAAAGCTTGCACCCCCAAGCCCAATGGGGAGAACGCCATCTCTGCCCGCTCCGACCTCAACCCAGCCAATGGCTCCTACCCCTTCCAGGCTCTGCACCAGCGCTCCCACGGGGGCATCGACGTGAAGGTACCGGGCTTGGGGTGCTGTGGGTGGGGGGTGGTCAGAGTTGGTGGGGAGCCGCAGGGCCTCCTGGGTTGGGATGACTTAGCCACCTGCCCTCCCCTCACCCACAGGTGACCAGCGCGGCCCTGGCCAAGGCCCTGCGCCTCCTGGCGGTCAGCGGCCCCACGTGGGACCAGCTGCCCCCGTTCCAGTGGAGCACCTCGCCCTTCAGTGGCATGCTGCACATGGGCCAGCCTGACCTCTGGAAGTTCTCGCCCATCGAGGTCTCTTGGGACTGAAGCTCCATCTCTGCTCTGCTGCCTTCTGCCCCCGCTGACCCTGGCGGGGACCACCCAACTGGCTGCCACCCTGCCCTCCCGCCTGCCTTCTCTGCAGGGGAGGGGGCATCATCGCCCTGCTGTGCCTGGATGGGGACCTGGGCTGGTGCCAGCTTCACTCTCGTCTGGGCGGCCTCCGGGGTGGGGAACGGAACCCCAGGGGGCACGGGACTGACTGTTTCCCCTGCCTGGGTGATGCTATCCCTGTCTCCCTCTGCATCTTTCTCCTGCTTTTTTCTCTACCACCCTCGGGTCCCTCCGATTCTGCAGGAGAGGCCCCAGGGCCTACATCCCAGCACCATTCCTGCCCGTGGCTCTGGAGCTTTGGCTCCAGGTCAGCATCACTCCTCCCATCCCCACCCCCTGCCCATCTGCTCCTGGGGAAGCAGCTGCCCCTGTTTCTCCTCCTAGCGGACGGAAACTGGAAACGCTATGAAAAACCAAAGTTTCTGGCTACCTGTGGCTGGAGGGGCCCAAGAGTCCTGCTCTCCCCAGGGCCAAGCAGGAGTGTCAGCCCCTTGGCTCCAGCCTCGTGGCCCCCGCCCCCCCAGCTCCAGCCTGCCCCTGGCCTCCGGGCAGGACCCTCAGGCCCCCTGCTACAGGAACCACACTGCAGGCTGTGCTGCCATTAAACAAGAGAGGCCGAGGCCCCTGTGCTGTGCTTCTTGGGGCCACGGGGACAGCAGGGTCAGCGTCCTTTCTCTTCTCAGGTTTGAGTTCTGACCGTTCACCCATGCACCCTCCTGTCCATCCTGTCTGTCCATCTGTATAGGCATTCACGTGCCAACCCACCCCTCGTTCATCCGCACGGTCATCCATCCGTTCATCCACCCATCTTCCATTTATCCATCCATCCCCATATCCATCTATAATCCAACTATCAATCCATCTACCCATGCATCCATCCACCCATGTCCGTCCATCCATCTATCCTGTGCTTATTGAACACCTACCTTGTTCTGGGTCCTGTTGTAGGGCTCTGTTAACCACCAAGTCCTACCCCCTACTCCCTGAGTCCTACCAAGGGTGGCGGTGGGGGAAGACAGATCAACGCAGCACAGAGTCCCTCCCCATCCGATCTCACCCAGAGCCTCCACTGGAGACAAGACTCGTGCCATGCTTGGGGAGAGGAAAGCACATAGCCCTGGAGTCAGAGGCCTGGGTTCGAATCCTGTCTCCACCTCTTACTAGTTACGGTACTTAACTTCTCTGTGCCTGCAGTACCTCAACTGTTAAATAGGTAATGATGTGAGCAGCATTTCTCTGCATGTGTGTGTGTGTGTGTGTGTGTGCTTGGAGGAGGGTGAGATTCACTGCAGTGGTGGCTATGACATGGCCCACGTGGGGCCTTACACACTCAACATTCATTCACTAGCAAGAATTTATCACATATTTAAAACATGCCAGGCACTGTTATAAGGTCCTGGGGATACCTCATAACAGGTACCAAAAAAAAAAAAAACTCCATGATGTTTACATTGAGGAAGTAGATAAACACAGTGTGTATGATGTTGATAAATGCTCTGGGGAGACAAGCACAGCTGAGGGGTGGGAGTGGGTTTGCTATATATATGTATATGTGTAATTTTTGTGGGGCACATTGCTTGCACTCAGCAGCTTGTGAGATCTCAGTTCCCCAAACAGGGATTGAAAACATGCCCCTTGTATTGGAAGCACGTGGAGTCCAAACCACTGGACCACCAGGGAATTCAACTTTTTTAAGTTCCACATATAGGTAGAAGCTGGAAAGACTCCTATTCTGGGCAGGTTTCTCTGAACTGACTGATATTTTAGACTCTATCCCTCCAGGAACAATTCTGGGGCCAGTCGACTGGTGACTCCCCATCCCTGCCTGCCCTTTGTGGAGTCCTGTCTCCTGGATTTTTTGTGTAATACTTTTAGTTTTGTATTGGGGTATTGCTGATTGACCAACAGTGCTGTGAGTTTCTGGTGAGCAGTGAAGGGACTCAGCCATTCGCGTGTATCCATTCTCCCCCAGACTCCCCTCCCATCCAGGCCGCCACGTACCGTTGAGCGGAGTGCCCTGTGCTGTAGGGCCTTGTTGGTCACCCGTTGTAAATATAGCAGTGTGTGCATGTCCATGCCCCACAAGCCCCCTAACTATCCCTCCCCCCGTCCCTCCCCTGTCTCCTGGGTTTCAGGTACGTGTGCTGTCTCTCCCAGCTGGAAGTCAGCCTGTATCCCTGTCACTAGGGTGGGTTTTCCCTGAAATCTCACGGTACCTGCTCTTCGTCAAGGTGGGGGTGGGGGCTTCCCCTCTGCAAGCCCATGTGGATCTGTGTGGTAACCCGAGGGGTTAGGGCGGTTCTCAAACATGGGGCTCCAGGTGTCCCAGGGGCTGCTATAGGTGGTGCAGGGGTGTTGGGGGGGCTCCCTCCAGGACCAAGACAGCCCCAGCGGTTCCTCTTCTGTCTGGTTTATAGACTGGCTTCAGTATGTACTGTCCTTGAAGACAGGGTTCTGTGTTTGGGAGGATTGGCTTGATGTGGACCAGAGATGAGTGTCCGTCATTGGTTCACACACCCCCGGGTCTTCCCAGGTGGCGCTAGTGGTATAAAGAACCCGCCTGCCAATGCAGGAGACATAAGAGACACAAGTTTGATCCCTGGGTTGGGAAGGTCCCCTGGAGAAGGAGAAGGCAACCCACATGGGGTATTCTTGCCTGGGAAATCCCATGGACACAGGAGTCTGGCAGGCTACAGTCCATGGGGTTGCACAGAGTTGGACACGATTGAAGTGACTTAGCGCGCAGGAACAAGGGGCTCATGACCCCGCTCCCAGTGGTTCTGCGATACAATTATTCTGTTATTAGGAAGGACTTCCCAATAGAATGATCTGCTTTCCCAGCTGGTCCTGCCTCCTCTAGAGGCCCGTGTCCCATCCCAAGCCCCTCTCCTTCAGCACGGCTGCCCCTCACTGGCTCCCTGACATGCAGAGATGCCCCCTCCTGGCACACACTCCCAGCAGGAGTTGGGGTCCCAGCCTGCATGTGGGGCCCCAGGGTTCCCAGGGTTAGGGGGCACAGGGGATATTGAGAGCTGGGGATGACAGCAGGCATGCTGGGGTGGAAGGGAGGGAAGGAGGGAGACAGTCATGATAGAAGAACTCAAAGAGGAGCTTTGTTTCAATAAAAAAGCACTTCTTAGGAAAATGAAAATTTGCACAACAGAAAAGGGAATTCCCTGGCAGTCCAGTGGCTTGGACTCATGCCGTCACTGCTGAGGGCGCAAGTTCAGTCCCTGGTCAGGGAACTAAGATCCCACAAGCCACAAGGCACGGCTGGGGGTGGGGGTGGATTTAAGAGAAGTGAGTAAGGGTAGGCTTTGGGCTTCCTGAGAAACAAACACTCAGAAGAGTTCCGCTCACAGCCTTGCTGGCTACTGCCTTTCCGGCCGCTCCACACACAGTGGTCTCAGGAGAACCAGAATACCAGCTGGCGCGGGCCATGGGCTCCCAGCAGACACGGGAATAATATTTACAATGAGGCTCTGGGTCATGCTGCAGAAAACTCCACTCTTTCCAGGGTGCATCCCGGGTAGGGGAGGGTCCTCACTGGGGCAGCCCGTCCATGCCCAGCTGTTTCTTGAGTGCCAGTAGCTGCGCCAGGCTGATGTTGCTGCCCCCACAGACAATGACCACAACAGAGGACAGAGGGGTGCGGAGTTTCCCCTGTCCTTGCAGCTTCTGAATCACGTTGCTGTAGACGGCGGCCAGGGCGGCCCCACAGGCGGGCTCCACCAGGATCTTCTCGTCATCTACAAGAGCAAGGGGATGGTGGGGGTGGAGCCAGGAAACCACCGGCTCACTGGTGAAGCCATCGGTTATCAGCCCCGGCCACAGACTGGTCCTGGACCCCACCCCCCACCCCCCATCATTACCCTCCATTGACCTTCTAAGGAAGGCCTGAGTCAGGGCTGAATTTCAACATCAGAGCCAACAAGTTGCTTTGCTTGTAATTTCCTGGGCACTGTGTTAACATCATTTGAGCAAGAGTGCCAGCACTGATTGGCCAAACTAACTCCCAGTACGAGAGAATTAAATGGCAGCATAAGCGTGTGTGTATGTATGTGTGTGTGAGATCCCTGTTCTAGGATGAACCCCGTAAAAGTCCAGCTTCAGGACTCCCCGGTGGTCCAGTTAAGACTCCGCGCTTTCATTGCACAGGGTGCAGGTTTGATCCCTGGTTGGGCAACTGAGATCGCATGTTGCTGCTGCTGCTGTTTACTTGCTAAATTGTCTCTGACTGACTCTTTGCGACCTGATGGACTGTACCCCTCCAGGCTCCTTTGCCCATGGGAGTCTCCAGGCAAGAATACTGGAGTGGGTAGCCATTCCCTTCTCCAGGGGATCTTCCCGACCCAGGGATCAAAGTCTCCCTGAGTCTCCCACATCACCTATATTGGCAGGTGGATTCTTTACCACTGAGCCACCTGGGAAGCCCATGCTATGTGGCAAAAATAAAAAAGCTTATCTGGAAGAGTAAAAGAATCACAAGGATATTTTAAAAAGAGTCCAGCGTAGTCGCAGACTCACCTCTGTCCAACACTGAGGTCCATAGTTTCCTTTTTCACCCTGACTACATTGCTCAGAACCAACATTTTACATACGCAGTTATTTTCCCCTGCTCTTACATTTTCTGACTTTTATCATTTGTCCCCTCGGTCTTTCTGTTTTAACCCCTGGACTGCAGTAACTTTCATTAATGGGAAGTTCCACAGAGGGATAGGAGACAGAATTGCGAATGACATCCCTTGGCATGCCAATCTGACAGCCACATAGTCCTTAGCCAGCAGGGTTGGGTCTCAAAAGGACTTAGCACATACATACCCACAAACTTCTCAAGAGCAGCCACAGCCTCCTGGTCCGAGACAACTTCAGAGAAAATGGGGTGTTCCCGATATACCTTCATAGCCTGCGCCGTCACGGTGGTCACGCCCAGGGCTTTGGCAACACTGGCAGGGACAAAGATGGAGAAGAGGGGAAAGAGGCAGGAGAGAAGAGGGAGGCAGACCAAGTGATTACCTTCTGGACAATAAGAGGTAAGTGGACATATCTGTGTCTTTAAAGGAAAAGAGTCAGCTTCTGCCCTGACTTCTTCCTGCCAGATTGAGCGTGGGTGTGATAGCCAACACCTAAGCAGTTATCTTGGGCCATAAGTCTATGCAATGAGGATGATGGAGAACAAAATCAAGGGTCCTGGGCACCTGGATTCGTGGAGCTAGACTTTTTTATATGAGAGGAAATAAAGTTCAATTTTGTTTAAACCACTGTTACTTTGGACTCCTGTATAATGTGGCTAAACCTAATGCTAGTCAAACACCATCTGGGAAAGGTTTGGGGCTGGGATATGAACCCCTTGGGAGGAGGAGCTGTGTTTATTCACCACTGTCTCCCCAGGATCGGCCAGTGCCTTGCACATATTAGAGGCTCAATAAATGGTTGGTAAGTTAGTGATGTGTGTTAAACCCTACCACAGAAGAACCCTAATAAAGGACCAATGTTAGCCTTTTCATGTGAGGAAGTGTGATGTTCTTGGTACAGACTCACACAGACTTCATTAATAGCCATACCACTCACTGGCTGCGTGACTCTAAGTGACCAAAGCCTCAGTTTCCTCACCTGCAAAATGGGGCTGGCATGGGGATCTACCTGGCCGCCAGCACCGAGCGGGGAGCTCCCCACAGCACTTGCTGAACATAGTGACAGCCTCCCTGGCTGCTTACCTGGTAATGCGGGGCAGGGTGACGAGCTTGCCGGCCTTGGTGGAAGCGTGGAAGCTCTCAGCTCCGATGGTCTCCATGGCGACGATGGGCACGTCCCTCCAGCCCACCTCCACCAGCCCCTGGACCACTCCACACAAGAGGCCTCCACCCCCTACTGCCAGCACGATGGCCCCTGGCTTTTCAGTCATCGTCTCCTTCAGCTCCTTCACGATGGATGAGTGGCCTTCCCTGGAGGAGGTGGGTGGGGAAGAGGGGTGGAGGTCAGGGCTGGGCTGCCTAGAGACACCAGGCAGGGGTCCTGAAGATGCCCCTTACTCCCTGTTTGCCCTCATCCCAGGCAGCTGATGGGCCTTGAGGCTGGTCCCCTCAAACCTGACTCCACCCTATTTCCAGCTGCCAACACCTGCATCTCTGCCTGTCTTCCTCTAGCCTCTGGAGCACGGTGAATGTGGCAGCTGGTGGTGCCAGGAACTGAAACCCCCGGAAACAGCCCTCAATCAGAGCCACCTGGGAAGCCCATGCTATGTGGCAAAAATAAAAAAGCTTATCTGGAAGAGTAAAAGAATCACAAGGATATTTTAAAAAGAGTCCAGCGTAGTCGCAGACTCACCTCTGTCCAACACTGAGGTCCATAGTTTCCTTTTTCACCCTGACTACATTGCTCAGAACCAACATTTTACATACGCAGTTATTTTCCCCTGCTCTTACATTTTCTGACTTTTATCATTTGTCCCCTCGGTCTTTCTGTTTTAACCCCTGGACTGCAGTAACTTTCATTAATGGGAAGTTCCACAGAGGGATAGGAGACAGAATTGCGAATGACATCCCTTGGCATGCCAATCTGACAGCCACATAGTCCTTAGCCAGCAGGGTTGGGTCTCAAAAGGACTTAGCACATACATACCCACAAACTTCTCAAGAGCAGCCACAGCCTCCTGGTCCGAGACAACTTCAGAGAAAATGGGGTGTTCCCGATATACCTTCATAGCCTGCGCCGTCACGGTGGTCACGCCCAGGGCTTTGGCAACACTGGCAGGGACAAAGATGGAGAAGAGGGGAAAGAGGCAGGAGAGAAGAGGGAGGCAGACCAAGTGATTACCTTCTGGACAATAAGAGGTAAGTGGACATATCTGTGTCTTTAAAGGAAAAGAGTCAGCTTCTGCCCTGACTTCTTCCTGCCAGATTGAGCGTGGGTGTGATAGCCAACACCTAAGCAGTTATCTTGGGCCATAAGTCTATGCAATGAGGATGATGGAGAACAAAATTAAGGGTCCTGGGCACCTGGCTTCGTGGAGCTAGACTTTTTTATATGAGAGGAAATAAAGTTCAATTTTGTTTAAACCACTGTTACTTTGGACTCCTGTATAATGTGGCTAAACCTAATGCTAGTCAAACACCATCTGGGAAAGGTTTGGGGCTGGGATATGAACCCCTTGGGAGGAGGAGCTGTGTTTATTCACCACTGTCTCCCCAGGATCGGCCAGTGCCTTGCACATATTAGAGGCTCAATAAATGGTTGGTAAGTTAGTGATGTGTGTTAAACCCTACCACAGAAGAACCCTAATAAAGGACCAATGTTAGCCTTTTCATGTGAGGAAGTGTGATGTTCTTGGTACAGACTCACACAGACTTCATTAATAGCCATACCACTCACTGGCTGCGTGACTCTAAGTGACCAAAGCCTCAGTTTCCTCACCTGCAAAATGGGGCTGGCATGGGGATCTACCTGGCCGCCAGCACCGAGCGGGGAGCTCCCCACAGCACTCGCTGAACATAGTGACAGCCTCCCTGGCTGCTTACCTGGTAATGCGGGGCAGGGTGACGAGCTTGCCGGCCTTGGTGGAAGCGTGGAAGCTCTCAGCTCCGATGGTCTCCATGGCGACGATGGGCACGTCCCTCCAGCCCACCTCCACCAGCCCCTGGACCACTCCACACAAGAGGCCTCCACCCCCTACTGCCAGCACGATGGCCCCTGGCTTTTCAGTCATCGTCTCCTTCAGCTCCTTCACGATGGATGAGTGGCCTTCCCTGGAGGAGGTGGGTGGGGAAGAGGGGTGGAGGTCAGGGCTGGGCTGCCTAGAGACACCAGGCAGGGGTCCTGAAGATGCCCCTTACTCCCTGTTTGCCCTCATCCCAGGCAGCTGATGGGCCTTGAGGCTGGTCCCCTCAAACCTGACTCCACCCTATTTCCAGCTGCCAACACCTGCATCTCTGCCTGTCTTCCTCTAGCCTCTGGAGCACGGTGAATGTGGCAGCTGGTGGTGCCAGGAACTGAAACCCCCGGAAACAGCCCTCAATCCGTTATAGGAATTAAGAATTACGGGAATTGATGCACAGACACTCCTTGCCCAACATCCTCTACCACAACCCTGGTTCATGGTCCATGCTGGCTCCCAGGGGCCCCTGGGGGATTAAGCTCCTGCTGACCACAGTGGTCACCAGTCCATCAGCACCCTTCCTTCCTCATCTCGCTTCCCCAGTACTCAAATGAGTCACCCCCCAAGTCAACCGCTTTCTCTGAAATCTTTATCTCGGGGTTCTGCTTCCGGGGGCCCCAATGACACACACACACACACACCCCTGTGTATCTGAGCCCAAGCGTTTGCCCATGGTCCAGGAGAACGGGCACTGAAACAGATAGATGTGGGCACCAGCGGCTGTGCCTGTGTGTGTGCTTCTATGTGATGTGCACACACGTGTACGCTGCTGTGCGTGATGGTGTGTATTGGGGAAGGTATCCACTCGGTGATGTAGAGGCATGGTCACTACCCACCCTGGTTGACTGGGGGCTCCACATACCAGATGAGGGGGTCGTCAAAGGGAGGGATGTAGACCCAGCCTGAGTTGTTTTTCTCGAGGTCCTTGGCCACCCTGATGGCTTCATCCAATGTCTGCAAGATCACAGAGAAGGCGCGAGGGGTGAGGGGCCGGCAGACTTGGCCCTGTGCCCCGGTGCCCTCTGTGGCCCCAGCTCCAGGTTGGTACTCACCTCACCCACCACTCTGACCATGGCGCCCTCATTCTTGAGCCGCTGGATGGTGAGGGCAGGCGTGGTGCTGGGCACGACAATCGTGGCGGGGATGCCCAGCTTCCTGGCCGCATAGGCGGCTGCCATGCCTGCATTGCCCGCTGCCAGGGGTGGAGGGTAGACAGTGTTAGCGGGGTTGAACCCTCCCTGTGTGAGGGCTGGCCTCCCCCTGGAATTCTAAACTGGGACTTCTGAAGATGTTTGCAACGGCTCATTCGTTGCTGGGGAAACCAGGGCTCAGAGAGGTGGAGCACCTGACCCCAGGACACACAGCAGGCCGCTTACCTGAGGAGCAGACGAAATGTTCACAGCCTCGTTCAGCCCACTGTGGAGACAGACAGGGGAGAGGATCAGGCCTGACACCTTTTCTCCCCAAAGAGACTAACTGGTTCAGGGAAAGATGAAGGAGAGGAAGGTCACTGATGGCTCTGGGGTCAGTCCATGAGGGGACCCTCTGGGCTGACACCCTTTAACCAGGGGAGGTGCCAATGGAGGGTGCCTGTGGGGAGTCAGCAGGGCCCAGCCTGGAACTCCAAGGATGTCACATGGCAGTGAGTGGCCCTGCCCTGTCCACAGAGGGCATCTGCCCGGATGAGGCTGTACCATTGTGCAGAGGTGTCCGATGCCCCGGATCTTGAAGGAGCCGGAGGGCTGGGCACTGTCTATCTTGAGATAGACCGTGGTGCCGGCCACTTTGGACAGGGTCATGCTGTCACGGACAGGGGTCTCCTCGTGCAGGGGTCTTCGCGACATCACCACTGGGAGAAAAGAAAGAAACCCAGAGGGTCAGGGGAGTTGGCCCTGGCGTCAGCTGCTGCCACTCAGTAGCAGTGGGGCTGGGAAGGACCCTGTCCCTAACTTCCCAGAAGGCCGAGGACAAGTGCCAGATTATAGCATCCTGGAGACCTGAGTTCAAATCGCAACTCGGCCACCAACTTGTTATCGGACAAGGAATCTCCCTTTGGCCTCAGCTGCCTCATCTGTAAAATGGGCAGAGGTCATCTTCTCTCCCCCTTACCCCTGCCCACCTCCGACCCACCCCAACACACACATACATTATGCTGGGAAGCTATTAATATCAGAAATGACATCCAAGGAATTCCCTGGAGCTCCAGTGGTTATCACTCTGTGCTCTTATTGTTGAGGGCCTGGGTTAGATCCCTGGTTGAGGAACTAAGATCTCACAAGCCGAGAGGCATAGCCAAAAAAAGAAAAATAACATCTAGACCTTGCAGCTTTTGAAGACGATGAGGAAGAAATAGACTTGTGGGTGTTTACTCAGAATGAGTGGCAAGATTATGGCTAAAACCCAGGGGCAGGATATCAGGTCTAGTTTGTGCAAAAACTGCAAGGATACACATGCACACCCACAATCCATGTGTACAAGACATCTCAGAAAACACACAAGAAACCCGACAGGGTGGGGGGCCCCTGGGAAGGACAGGCACATGGCACCTGCTTCTGTACCATTTCAATATTTTGCTGCTTGCCTGTTTATTACATATTTAAATTACACATCTTTAAAAACTAATCTCTGAGAGTGAAGTAAGTCAGAGAGAGAAAAGCGAATATCATATATCAATGCATATACATGGAATCTAGAAACATGGTAGTGATGAACTATTTGCAGGGTAGGAATAGAGACTCAGATACAGAGAGGACTTGTGGACCAGCAGGAGGAGGAGAGGGTGGGATGAACTGAGAGAGCAGCATTGACATATATACAGCACCGTGGGTAGAATAGACAGCTAGTGGGGAGCTGCTCTATAACACAAGGAGCTCAGCCCAGTGCTCTGTGATGACGTGGGGGGTGGGATGGGGCAGGGGGTGGGACATATGTATACATATAGCTGATTCAGGTTGTTGTAAGGCAGAAACCAACACCACATTGTAAAGCAACTATATTCCAGTAAAAGCTTAATAAAAACAACTAATCTTTGGAAAACCCTGTACCCATTAGGGGAAGCTTTTTATTATTGTTATTTTTTTGTAATAACTATTATATTATTTAACAATCACTTATAAAGTGATTACCAGGACTTCCCTGGTGTTCCAGTGGTTAAGAATCTGTCTTGCAAGGCAAGAGGATATGGGTTCGATCCTTGGTTGGGGAACTAAGATCCCACGTACCACAGAGCCGCTCAGCAGGCACACCACAAGAGACTACAAGCCACAAGAAAATATCCTGCATGACACAAAGATGC